ATCGATAGAAAATTCAAAAAATTATTTCAGTAAAGAAGAACTGGCCCCTCTTAAATAAGAAGTGATCCTGAGGCCTAGTATATAACAGTTTGACATGTGAAACAATGGATACTGGTCTCGAGTCTTAGTGGGAAAATCATCGCTTAAAAACGATGTACATACGTTCAGTGATGAGTCCCAAGCCAGACGAAACTCACGAAGTGTCCCATTGGAAATCCCTAGCGAACCTGGCATTAGATATCATATTAATTTTAAGATATTGTCAAAGTGTCTGTACAAAGAGCTCTCAATTCAACAGAAAATACGATAGGGATGGGTGAGAGCAGGCTGCTAGCCAATTGGTAGACATTAATTTACGTCAATGTTTATGTCGCAAATATTGGTCGCGAGAAGATATGAACAAGACCGATTCAACAACCAATCACAGCAGACTTTGCGTAGGCAGATACAGTTAACATATAGATGATTTGACATTCAAGAAACAGTCACAAATAGATGCAAGATCAACTTTCTGTGAGAAACAACCAATCAGAAGATTGTGTTTGTTTGCTTGAATAAGCCATAATAATGTACATGAAAATCTATAAATACGTGTTGATTTCCTTAATAAACCATCTGTTGCCTGGCCCTTGTCTTCTGTCGTTACAGGGATGTCAAGCAGTTTGTTAGGATAATTAACACCACCTTTAGATAATCTCTGAAGTATGATTAACCTTTTTCCTAAATTACCTTGTTGTCTTTGCGTAAATGGCAATAGTTATGAATCCCATCTGGTGTAATCTCAATGACTGTCAATTGTTGTTGGCAATATAACAATATAATAATTTGCTTTATTCCAAAATAGTACTAAATGTTACAGGGTGAAATTTTCAGCATTCGGTAAATATTGCATCTAATTTTATCGAATAACATTAAAAACAATTTTAAAGATACTATTACAAGATTGTTACTGGCAGTTCTTATTTCGTATTAGTAGGGATAATAAAATCATAATCATACAAAAATTGTAAAATAATAACGATAATAATGTTAGTAGCTAAGATTATCAGTTAATTGAGATAGTGTCACCATAGATTACAAATAGGAGATAATAAAAGGGATGATTATTTGCTAACAATACAGTAATTCATAAGTTTCACGCTTTATACTGACTCTATCTCATAGAACACTGGCCAAATATGGCATAGTTGATTTCCTTGTACTGACTTCTAGTTCTACCAGATGAGATGCAAGGTAGGGGAAGTTGAGAATAGAGGGGTGTTGAGGATTAGACAGTATGGATTTATACCATTTCTCATATGATTTCAGGTGTCTGTCAACTAATGTAGTGACAAGATGAATAAGTTGTACACCATTTGCCCTACTGACAACCATTAACACCCTTCTCCTCAAAATGACATAGTCCTTTTTCAGGAACCAGAGAAGACTAAGTTGTAGAGTTTGAGTGATTCCAGATTGTCTTAGCTTCTTAATGTAGAAGGCTAGACAGAACATTTTCTTGTAGACCGACAAAATATGAGACGACCAAGTAAGGCCAGAGGATAGAACTATATCAAGGTATTCTGTTATATTTAGTCCCTATTAAAGTCCCTTCTGTGCTACTAGCATCGTGTGTACTAACCAATCGTTATAGGTCACGTTTATGTCTAAAAGAGAAGTCAATAGTCTGGTATTTTGAAGGATTCAACATAACACCATATAGCCTAGACCACTGACGGACGTCTGACAGAAAGCTATTAATTTTGAAACATTATGATTTGGATTTAACAAGTAGCGAGACGGTTAAATCGTCAGCGTATTTGACAAAGTTGATTTCATTCGAAAAAGTTGTCATTTAAGAATAAAGAAAAAAGAAAAGGAGTGACAACAGCACCTTATGGAACATCAGCTTCAGTAAACAAGGCAGAAGAAGATTCGCCCTTACACATAGTATACTGCATTGCACTAGAGAAATCAGAAAGCAATCAGTTAACAGCCCAGAACTAAGTTTGTGTAAGAGAATGCTTATTTAACAAAAGGCATCTTTCTATTGAGCCATTGAATAAACATTGTTGATTACTGTAATTTACAGTAGAATTTTATTATACTGTTGTCAAGGAACTTAACCCTAAGTTCCTATTATTTCCGAAGACACTCCGAATCGACAATTATACTGAGTACAAGATCGACTCAATGAACTACAACAGATTGTATTCTCCGACAGTTAAAATCAATGCTCTGTACAAAGTCTATAAACAAAAATGTTTTACAAGGAATCTGTTGTACTTTTATTCGTGTTCCTTTGGTCTTCTTCCAACTTGTACACGATTGAATCACTCACGCCATCGAGTTGCCCGTCAATGGTTACCAGTTCCAGTAAACAAACGTTCAAATAAACGTGACAAACTGTATTCTTTTGCCAGCTATCGCTTCCCTCTACAGCTTACATGGCTGAATAGGGTATTTCGTCAGTAGTCTTGTAGACATCCTGAACACTAACTAACTGGAATAAGAAATCACCAACCATGCAGATAAAATGTCCACAATTCAATACAAAAATAAAACTCAAAAGGAGGCAAAATTTATCATTTGGAAGCTGCGAAGAAGCATACCAGAATTTGGGTAATTTGAGTTGATTCGTTATCTGAGCAGAGTTGAAACTGACTATCCGGCCGATCAGCTTGACTTCAAACAAGCTAATTGGCCATATATAGTGTTTAGATCTTTTCGATACGGTTAGCTAGCACATCTGGTTGATTTGGGTCGCATACAACTACTCGTCTGAAATCAATCAGTAGTATATGCCATCCTTCATTCTAAGCTAAAAACTCTATCTTATATAAGAATGGCTTGGTAAGGAGTAATAATAAGACGCTAGAAACTTTATGTACAAGTGATGTTTAGGTGTTTTTAAGAGCTAGAAGACTGTGTTAGAATCTTCAGATTATAAATAGATTAGTATGCGGAAAAAATTGCAACTCTATGCATCGTCATGGAACAGAGCATAGAAAGACAATAGAACCCCTACCTCAATTTCAACAACTTTGAAACGGCCTTTGACAACGTTGACTGAGAAGTTTATTGGGAACTACTTCAACTCTATGAACAGCCCCAAATCTGTATCAGCATCATTTAACGGCTATATGACAAAGCCGCGTAACAGGTGATCCACAATGGTAAACAGCTAAGTTTTTGAAGTGAATACAGGAGTATCACAGATGATTTTCCTAAATGTGCTGGGCTTTGTACTTGGAGTGAGAAGACAGGACTACGTTGAACAGATAAGGAGACTCTAGAAGAATTGGGCTTCATGGACGTTTTATGTCTAGTGTCACATAAATTCGAGGACTTACACAGGTGGAAACCAACAAAATATTGAAAGAAGCAGGTAGCAAAGACAGGATTTTAGTTGAACATAGAGAAGGTGGAGGTGATGAAGACAACTAGCCAACATCATCAACAAAAACAACAAGCATCCATCATTATCATTGAAAAAAAAAATTTGAAAGAGGTCACTACCTTCAATTACCTAGTCAACAGTGTTTCAAGTACAGGCAGTCGACAAGGATGAGTTTGTCAAAGCCAGAATCAGAAGGGAAAAACAAATCTTCATCACTCTAGAATCAGTTTGGAATTCTTTTGCACTCATTGCAAAGAATAAGATTCAGATTTTGAACATCCACGTTAAGTTAGATCTTCTATATGGGTGAGAAAATTCCACTTCACGTCACTGAAAGCATTTCCAATAGGCTAATACAGACATGATTTATAACTTACTGTTGTTCTCAGCACACGGCATAAGTATTTTAAACCAATACAGTATCTCTCTAGTGAGACAATGGTTCAGCCGTAGAATGCTCGCCAGCCATGCCTCATATAGTCTGTGATTCGATCCCTACTCTACGGAAAGATTTATCACACCAATACTACTGAAACCTCAAAGCTCTAGTTTGAAGCCGTATTTCTTTTGTGGGGGTGGGGGAACGCCATGCAAAAAAATCAAATAAATAATAATTATTATTATTAGCTTGAAATAGAACACTCAGTTTCTAAAATGAATTCCCGAGGTAAGTTCAATATAGTAATAAATATTACCTAGTGGAATCCAGAACGCATATTTCGTCCTATTTGGGGCTCGTCACTGGTGGATGTACTTGCAATGCTCATTGAGTGAGTGAGTGAGTGAGTAAGTGGATAGTTTTCCCATCGTTTCAAACGCCGAAGTGTTATTCACTAGACCATGCGTATCTCGGATTCCACAGGTAGTCATTGTTCATCAAATAACGTCATATTAATCTACGTATAGCGTCGAAGCGTCTGTGCTAGAGGCCGACATGTTAACAAAGGCCGAGTATTTTGATCTAATCATTTAACCTTAAAAACATAAAACTAATTGAAATAACCAATAAAAAAAATAGTTTCCAAATACATCAAACAGGTTTAAAGCATTTCTTTTTTCAGCAGAACTTAACTGAAACTGTTTTACATATCTTGATTTAATGACACTATTGAAACTGACTTTACTATCCATCTACTGTGATGTGCTTTAAGACAGATGATGTTGAGTAACTTCTATACCGACGGTCAACTGAGTTAGGGTGATTTTATTTGTTCATACAGCCATTTAAAATAAACTACTTTCTGTAACCCTAACATTCAAAGACTGGTGAGTCTTTTTAAGAGTCTTTATGTATGTATTACCATGGTTACTTGTTATATTTGTTAAATTCACTGGGAAGCAACGACATTACCTTCTAACGTTATCAGGGTTTATTGAAAAAAAAAATATATATATATGTATGTCTGTTGCATATTAAGTACTTTCATGTCTCTATGAGTCACATTACTTAATGATGAACAGACTCTAGGAATTAGCCCCACCCCTTCAATTTTAGTGTTTTTATTTTTGTGTAATCTCATATAACTTTCTCATTTTTCTTCTATGTTGTTTTTCCTCTCCCTGTTGTTTCTCTTCTCAAATAATCAATTGAAAAATGCAAACCAAAAAATGAATTTGACAGCTAACAAAAGACAAGGCCTACTGAAAACGAAACTTTATCAAATTGAAGAGATGCGAAAGTCGGTTAAATCCTTTCATCAATTATTGAATGAATTCAATAGAAAATTCACATGTGATATGAATAATTGTAATAAAATTGTAATGGTATGTTTGTATGCCTGTATATATATATATATATATATATATATATATATATATATATATAATTACAAATTGAAGACAGTTATTTAATATATGTATATAGGAGAAGGAAATGCTGTCAGCTCAGCCAGTACTTGTGTTATTTCCGTACTAATTTTATAAAGGAGACCTGACGACATTTTCTACCTAGCTGTCAAAGAACTGAGTGGTGAAGTGGAGTGAAATGGAATTGGAACTTGTGCCTAACCTATTAATTCAAAGTGACCAATGAGATCTACTGTCTACCAGAAGATAAGAGAGGTGATAACGGACAATTTTTAAATTAGGAGAAAAACAAGTCATGTCTATACCGTTTTAACCATATTAAATGTCAGCTGGGTTAGAGGTAAACAGACTGTTCTGATTGGTTGGTAATTGGCTCAAGGTTAAACAAATGTATGAAAAGTTGTCCAATGAGATTATTTCCAGACCACAACGTAAATTAATCCCATATTTGAGGAATAAACACTTCTACCCTTGCAACCATTGACTTAAAATGTTGATTTCAACTTTTAGCCGTTTACTGTCACAACATTAGATTACAAAGTAATAGCTGATTGGTTGCATTCTTAGATGAGAATGTTTCGCCTACAAAATATTCCTATTGTCTTCATATAATATCTACTTATTGTTACGAAAGACAGAAATCTATCCCAATTGGTCAACTGGTGTTCAGTAGTTCAAAATTTATTGATCGGAGATGCTGTTGGATCATCGAGCCAATCGATGTGATACTGCGATGTAGTGTAATGCACCAACCTTTGACACTTAATATTAATATTGGTTAGTTGACAGATATTTTTTGGTGCAAATTGGTCAAAGATATTAAGTTTGTGACAAAATTTAGTTTGTGATTAATCAGAACTATACAAAACCAGCAGTTGAACAAGTAAAAGACGAAAGTCAACCAATAAGTGAAATCACTGAGACTACTTGACTTGCAGAGATTAGATTTGCTTCAGAAAATCAGTGTGTCGCATTAATAAAATGAATTAATTAAAACCTCCTCTCTATGAATTGTGTAATTTACATAAATTTTGCCCCAAAGGGATCATTAGATAGACAGATGGAAATTTAATCTTGTAATGGTTTTCTTTTCTAAATCAGGATTTTAATTACCAGTTGTCCAAATGATCTTGTTGTGAATGAAATTCATTTTCGTGTGCGTAAAGTAACCATCATTGTCATTTGAATCCGCAGTAGATGTTAGCGCTGACTGAATCTGATCAGTCAAGTTTCTGTTTTACAACGCGGTCATCAGAGTTAGGGATTCGGGTGATACTAAGCACGAAACTCTGGTCTAGAGCTTCTCGTAGATTCCTTTCAACCAATTGTTAGTCAGTTCAAAGTGGATCCCAATAGGGAGTCATATCGCGTGATGATCGTATTGCAAATTTTATTGATAGAACTTAATCAGTGCCAAAACTAAGATCTAGCGTCATGCCATTACTTACTCCCTAATGACTAATTAATGTATCCATCAAAGTCCAACAGGAATCCAGCTATGCGTCCGAATACCTTAATGATAACTCCTTTAACTTCAGTACTGGGTAACATGTACTCGAATCTCCAAGGAGGCATCATTACCTTCGAGATTACAGGTAAGCCTTGCTGACGAAAGCCAGTTGGTACGAAAACTTGGTCAACGAGAATTCTCTGTCTACTGCTTCCTACTAACTAATATCATATGAAAAAGAACAGGCGTTCAGCAAAGACTTACTCTTTTCGGCGATATCTTTCTCAAGCTGTACAATCACATGTATTTAGTAAATTATCTTAGCAACATAAGGAATATATCCAAAGGTGTATCATTAGATTTGTAGATTTTAAATAACAAATTTCGTTAATGGACTAGAGACGAAAATAAGATTAAATAAACAAGTTGAGTAACGTAATCTAACTAATGGGGCTGAGTACAGCTCAACTGAAATTAAAATTAAACAAAAGTTAACAACAGTGATAAGAAATTTAATAAGGGGTGGGAGAGAGGAGAAAATTTTATACAATTAAGAAACAAACAAGCAAGAAAAAAGACAAAACCACAATCTGTCCACTGTAGATCTAAGGACTGAACGAGCTTCTTTTTTTATGGAGAGTTCATGATTTAACATTTGAATTTGCCATTGCTTCTGAGGTTTGAAGAAGTTTGATTCTTATTCTTTTACCAAGATTTCCACGTATTCTGTAGATAAATTTGAAGTTGTTTTGTGGGTTTGCTTGGTGTACTGATTTGATCAGGTGTTCCAGAATACAACTTCAGGGGTGGACCTTTTTCTCCTGTATAAAACCATGATTGTAAGTAGGTTTTCGACGATTCGATTGGATAGTAAACTCTGGGTACGGCCGAAAAACCTATCTTCTCTACACGATCAGGTGAATTGGTAGATGCACACTGAGGAGACCAACAATGGTAGCTTATTTTTCACGTTCATGTGAATCACTGGTTTCATAGAGGAGCTTAGGGGGAGTCCAGTCGCGAACAAGGTTTTCTTCAGAGAGTTGGTCAGGCGATGAGTTTCCACTGAACTGCAGATTCAAGTAGAGAAGTATTTTTGTAAGCAGAAAGTGTGAGGGGTTTTGGCGGTATAGGTTTCATAGATTTTATGATGAAATATTCTGGGTAGCTATTTCCGAGGAGGATTCTCTTCAGAGTATTTACCTTCCCTTCCATAGTTTCAGAGCTGCAAATTCTACCCTGCGGATTCTGCAGCTCAGTGAAACGATCAGGTTTCGTTTTGTATATAATGGCACCCAACTTTGAAAGTTAGTAAGTTATTCGTTGAATGTTGACTTTCTGTAGATGAATCTTTTGAGTGTTGCATCTTGTTCACGTTCTTGTTAATTGGACGTCCGTCTCTTCATTCATTTGTTCTTTATAAACACACACACACACACACACATTCATATGCATATCTATAATCCTCATTGTCTCCCAAATTTTTGTTTTAATTATTTTAGAAATTATCAAATCACCAACAGAATTTTAAACATAAAAAATGTTTTGATTCAAGACTTGAAATAATTCAAAGCGAACGTCGAAATTTAGATCGTTCCTTAGAAGAAATGCATGATATTAGTTCAGAATTAAGTGAACAATTACATGATCTTGAATGTGTTATTGAACAAACAGGTAATGATGTCTTACAACATCGTTGTCGAATTACACTACCATATGTACAAACTTTGGAGAATCGTCTGGATTCGATTAACTCAGCTGTTGGTGTTGCATGTGGTAAGTGAATCGGTTAATAGTGATGTATGTGTGGGCATGCTTGCATACTTGCATGAATTATGGTGCCTTTAATAAGTGATGAAACTATCTGAGATAACTTCAATACTGTAATCCGGACTATTCCAGGATTATAGCCAACTGCCTTCAGATCATTAAATCGGCGTCAAACATCCTATTTGGCTGGCGTAAATTCTACCACTGAACCATACACCTGCACCTTCAACACAATAACCAGAAGTGCACCGGGGTTCCAAATGGAACATAGGTCCTCAACAGCACATCTCCACATTTTCTTACTCTCTGAAGTCCTCCTTGGCTGACTACACATTTAATAATAATAATAATAATAATAATCACTTTATTCCACAACAATAAAAATTTACAGCATGGAATTTTCAGCGTTTCTTTTACATATTGCAATGGTTTAGCTCTGTTTATAATTATATAAATATATAAAATGTTAAAATATTGATAGTTAATAGGAAAAAATAATAAAAAAATAAATAAGAATAAAAAACCCAACAAAATCATACCATTTCTAGGTCATAGTGAATAATAAATAAATAATATAACAAATAACACTTGCATTAATATGCATCATTTCATTTTATAGTTTAGTTACTGATTCAAAAGTTGTAAAAGTTCTTTTCTGATATTTGTCTCTTCACACAATACTCGTGCCAAATATGGAACGGTCGAATTTTTATATTTTGTAGTACGAGCATAAATGTTTATAAAATTTCTTCTGGTCTTACCCGAAGAGATACAAGGAAACAATTGTGAATAAAGAGGATGTTCACTATCAGATAAGATAACTTTAGCTAAGTGTTTACAAGAATTCATATGCCTATTGACAACAGTGTCATTTAGTTCAGTCAAAGGGATAGCACTGACCCTACTTACAGCCCTCAATGTTCTTCGTAGTATTATATGATCTTTCTTGAGTAGCCCAGGGAAGAATAATGGAGAACAATAAAGAATGATGGGCAAAACACATGAATTAATAAATTGTATGATAAGAGATTGAGTTATACCTGAGTGTCTCAACTTCTTTATGTAATAAGTCAGACGGAAAACTTTCTTAGAAACTATAAGAATATGAGACGACCAGCAAAGATTTGACGAGAAACTAATGCCAAGATAAGAAACACTTGACTTACTCTCAATCATGGTACCATCAATATTACAACAATCATGAGATTGAATCAATCCATGCATGTCTTTTTCACTTCTCAAGCTGAAATCAACAGTGTTACATTTAGTTGGATTTAGTTTAAGACCATTTGAGCGAGACCAATCCTTAACTTCAGCTAGGAAGCCATTCATATAGGAACAATCCGATGTGGCAACTACAGGGACAGAAACGGTCAGGTCATCAGCATACTTAATGAAGTTAACTTTGGGTGAGTTCGGAAGGTCATGCAGAAAGAAAGAGAAAAGAAATGGAGAAAGTACTGCACCTTGAGGCACACCACTTTCAGTTAGCTGGGAAGTGGAGCGCTTTCCAGCCAAAACAGTATGCTGTTTCCTATCCTTAAAATAAGAAGACAGCCATCTAGTTGCCCAGGACTCTGTTTGTGCTGAATTCATCTTTCCTAATAAAAGTGTCCTAGGAACAGAGTCGAAAGCTGCAGTATAGTCTAAGAAAGCTGTTCGAACGAACTTAGCGCCCTTATCAAGGCAGGAAACAATATTGTGGTGTAGTACAATGGCTGCATCTAATGTACTTCTTCCACACTTATAAGCAAACTGCTTAGGGTCATTAAAAGCTTTTAAAGAAGGTTTAAGAATATTCAAAAGAAGTTTCTCCATAGTTTTCAAAAAAGGAGATGTTATAGCGACTGGTCTAAATTTTATACCTGCTCCAGAAGATGATTTCTGTACAGGTACAACCTTGATTTCTTTCCAGTCAGCAGGTACCGTTTCCCTCTTAAATGATGCGTTAAAGATTTGAGTAAGAGGATGACACAAGATGTCTGCACACTTTTGGAGAAGAATGCTTGGTACACCATCTGGACCAAGGCTGTGTGTTGGATTTAATGACTTCAAACATAATAGTACATCCTTTTCTTCAAAACCCTGAAAATGACCATTTTCTTGACTAGGTACATCAGGTACAACCATATTAATTTGTTTCTTGATAAATGATTTGTTTAAAGCATTAACATCAGAATAAGCATCAACGGACATTTGTTTTTTACTTGTTAGTTTATTGAAAAGTTTCCAAATGTTTGAAGGATTTTTACATGATAAAAATTTTTCATTATATAGTCTGTTCAACCTTTCTATTTCAATTTTTATAAGGGTGTTTATTTTACGGACACCAGTATTATCACAATTCTTATACAACTTCTCTTTTTGTCTTCTAAGTTTTTTCAGTTGCAAAGAAGAGATTCTGTCAAATCTCGAAAACAGTGTTTCATAAGGACAGCAAATATCCAAACAAAACTTCAGATAATCGGTTATATTAGAGACAGTAGCATCCAACTTATCGTCAGTAAACAGTTCCCAGTTGGTATCATGCAACATGCTTCTTAATGCTAGAATGTTGTCATGGGAATATGAACGTTCATGTATCTTCTTTGTTAAATGACTAAACAATTTTCGTTGTGACTTGCCGTACACTTTCGGTAAAATACGAATAATGCAGTGGTCAGAATTTAGCAAAGGAGCTCTCCTTCGGGTTTCATATACATCACGGTCATTTATGAAAACCAGGTCTAGTGATTTGTCCAGACGTGTATTAAACTTGACTAGATTCTCATGACCAAGCGAAGTAAGAAAGCTGTGATCACATAAATTAAAATCACCACAGACTATAGACAACGAGTTTCCGAATGCAGGAGCAGCGAATTCAGTAAACTCATCTGCAAACATAACTATATTAGAAAGGCTACAATTGGGTGTTATGTAAATATTTGTTATGTATATATAAGAATATTTACTTAAGTGTTTTGGGCGACACCTGACGGTTATGCAATCTATACTGTCATTAGAATAATTGAAGCAAACGTGATTTGATGTAGACCAATTTGTGTTTATATATGTGGCTACCCCTCCTCCATATTTTTTCTTGGAACTATTTCTATCTTGGCGAAAAACTTTATATCCATTTATTGAAATTAGATTATCATCATAATGCTGGTGCCCGTAGGCTCTAATTTTCTTGTCTATATATCACCCTCAGACATCCTACTCGTTGATTCCTAATCGGATTCCACTCGAGCGGTGACCTGGTGCGCCTTATCATTTGACGGTCTTCTCTGTGTGTGCTTCTAATGCACCCCCATCTTCTTCTGCATATTTGTTGAACAATTAATTGTCGGCTGGTTTGAGCAGAACCAATTACTTGGAGAAATGTAACTACGTCAGAGAGTCTTTGATTGTATTTAACGTAACAATATTACCATGAGACAATTTCTATTCATTTTAAATAAGCATAGATAGGTCAATAAAGAATATTTTTCCCAACTTTTCGTGGAAGCTATACAATTAAAGTTTCTCTAAAGCGGTCATAGAAGATATCAGCAGAGAAGAAATATTAGAGTCAGTCATTAACAAAATATGTTGTAACTTAAATAAGCAATAATTTGTTGGAGGGTGACTAGAAGTAGAATCTAGGATGCGCCATTCATCGTATTTGATACTCATCATCCGGATGTACCTGCTGCACCCCATTGAGTCTCGAGCCCAGTACACATTATTTCAAACACCAAAGAGTTATCCACTAGACCATTTGGACCAGGAGAGTCACTTCTTGTGCAACAGGTGTAAGTTATTATTTAATTAAATGTGAACTTTCCCTGTGATTGGTTGGACCGAAGTGTTTGGTCTCTTTGAGCTTCATTGGAAACACCATGACTCACTATTGAATGCAGGTGCATCCAGATGACAAGTCCCAGAGAGGATGAACTGAGCATCCTGGATTTCATTACTAGTCACCATCCATCAAATTACTTCCAGTTAAATCCCCAGATATCTTCAAAGCATCCTCACAATAAGCCGACATGTCAACAGAAGCAGAACACTTCGGTCCAATTAGTCAATGGGAAAATCCAAAATTGAATTAATTATTAGTTACACAGCTGGGCATAATCTAAAACATAAGGTGATTGAATGAATAGTGTTCAGAGATGGTTGTAATTAATAAAACCATTAACACTTAGAAATAATAATGTTATTCATAACAGTAAGAGATTAAAATTATACGTTGAAGGTGCATCGTAGTAACAGTTCTTTCACGTAGTTAACCTACTTAACCAAATAAAATCAACCATATGAAGTATCTGGGAATCAAGAAGATTATTCCAAACAAGAGGGGATCAGAACCCTGTCAGCGAGAATCCGATACCAAACACTTCCTGTACACAGTTCAGGGTTAGAATGACCTTAGCGCACTCAAACAAAATCGGAGTTGTAATACAGAACATTATCAATGTATCACCCTACAATCACAATTATTATTATTATGATTGTTTCTTTTAGTTCCTAGAGGAACATAGGGCTTCAGCCACACGTCTCCATTGCGTTCGGTTCTCTGCCAAAGTTTTCACCTGGCTCTGTGTCTGCCTAAATGCTTGCATCTCCCCTTCACATGACCTCCTCCATGTCACCCCACCCCTCCCCTGGCACTGACTAACGACTCGCCGTTTCCCATTCGGATTCCACTCGAGCGATGGCCTGGTGTGTGATGTACCTTGATGGCCAATCCGCCTCGATTTCTTCCCGCAGATTTGTTGCACAATCAGTTCCTGGTTGGTTTGCTCCCAGAGATCCCTATTGCTGATTTTTTCTGGCCAGCCATCTGATCTTGAGTAGTATTGAGAGAAGATAGCTATTGACGAACGTCTGTAGTTTGTTCGAAACGCCCTTTGTGACATGGCGCCAAGTCTCTGATCCGTATAGTAGCGCTGACTTCACATTGGGGTTGAAAATCCGGATGTTATTTTTTATGCTGATTGCTGTTGACCTCTACACAGACTTGAGAAGAGAAGCACAACCATAAAGAGAAGCATTAGAATTAGAAATTAAACAGTGAAAAAGATAAACAATAAGGACCAAGCCAGTAGATGATATGTGAGCGTCAGGGTAAATATATATAGCCAAGAAAGAAAAGAGGAAAATAGCTACAAAGCAAGGTGAAAGATTCAAATAAATTTAAATGTCGTAATTGAGTCTTTCAGAAAGAATTTTCCAAACAATTATTCCGTTACCTTGAAAAACCATTCAGTTTGTCCCAATAGCAGACTCTAAATCCTGTTGTAATGTTTGGGAAAACACTCAATGTTAGTTATATCAGACAAACAAGAAGCAATAGACACTTGTTTCATTTCAATATGGGACTGTACTAGCCGTTTACTGAATGGCTGATGGGTTCACCTCGTAACCTGAAAGTTCTGGGTTCGATTTCTGATTATATCGTGCGCCTATATGACCGAGGATACGATGACTAGAATAAAACTACTCCCCGATTCTTTCTTTATTTCTAATGGTTCTCTAACTGGTATCGAATGCTGACGATATCTACCTAATTGCAAACCAGCTTTTAATATTTATTTATCGATGGTTTTTGAATTCCAGACAAAGGTTTTCAACAGATAACCTTGTGTTTATACATCTGAAGGTCAGAATACTAACTTTCAAAGTAATCATTCAGAGTCTGCTGGTTTAAGTTTCAACATGACCTAGGATTTATTTTGTTCTTAGCCATCACAGTAATACACAATATATATATATATATATATATATATAAGAGTAATTTTTAATTTGATTAATCATGACCACAAATTCTCCAACCACACAGGTCATTATCCTGAAATTCAACAAGTGTTGAACAGTCGTGAAGAAGCTGAGAAGAAAGCTATCGAAATTCAAAAAAGGTTAGTTTATTTACTATCTGTGTATCTAATGGAGTTGCTTAAATGTCTTAATATTAATTTAATGCTTATGAAGCAAGTCTGAGAGAAATTTATGCTGTGTAAACGTTTTCAACATTAACTATTTCTTACATGAGGATTTGTGTGTAGTTTTATAATCTTATATTGCATCACCATTATGTTATTCGAACAATGTTTTTAGTCTTATCCAGAGCTGATTTTATCAGCGATCGAAGATCAAGAAGCTTTCTCTACCCTGACTTTGGATTCTTCAGTGGCGCTTACCTATGAATGCATTAAAGATAATAGTCGAGATTGTTACTTTTTAGAGAATTCAGAATTCAGTAGTTTTTGACGTTGTTGTTCATCTAGGCAACATCTTCAACAATAATTTCATAATGAAGTCAAAGAACACAACAACATCAGAAATATTCACATGAGTCACAAATCCCTATTATCTTGAATTCAGTGTGTTATGAATTCCAACTGCTGAAACCGAATGTTGTCAATCGATTGATATTGATTTTTACCCTGAACTCAATACAGCCTATCAGTTATGACTTATCATTTAACCTGAGGAACATTCATCTTCAGTCTACTCACTAATCAATAGTAGACTAACCGGCTTTATGGTTGATTTCATGGCTACTGACCTAAAAAAACACCACTGCAACGTGTTTTTTAAAAAGACAGAGAAATTCATTAATAAAAAGGCTTTCTCACATTTCCCAATGAGTGAAAAACAAAACGATCTTGTTGCTTTTACTGACGTCTTGCTAGTTAATACCACTCATAGCTCTATCATAGTAGTATTTTTAAACGAGAATTTACAAAGTCTCACCTTATATGTAGTAACTTAAGCATCTTTCTTCAGCACGAAGTTATTTCTATATTGTCAAGTTGGTCAACTGGTGAAGATTGTTGGATTTGATTTATTTTGTAACGCTCACCCAGGGGTCAGATTCTATCTAAGTTAAAATCAATTTTGTGGCCTGATTCTACAGCATGTAGACCTCTATGGCTGATGACTTTTCAAGATATACCAGTTGAACGGGATTTCTCAGTGGTCAAATATATGCTCTACATTGTTCACTTAGATATGATAGAGAAGATTTGTAGCTGAGGTGGATGATTTTGATGTGGTTGTGTTCTTTGACCTGAATAGTTAATTTGCGAAGCTTTCATCGCTCCCTATTGGGCAAAATCTTCAGCGTATACTTCAATTTGAATTGAAGTGAGCTTTCAGATTTCTCCACGAGTTTATTAATCATCTCTACTGGTAACCTTAAACGTGATTGGTTGACTCGTGTCTTTTCTCACCCTCTAGGCTACTTGTATTGGAAATGATTGTTTCTTTAACTTGAACTTTGACCCTTTGTGTATGAAGTTGAAAGTTCAAGTTAAAGAAACAATCATTTCCAATACAAGTAGCCTAGAGGGTGAGAAAAGACACGAGTCAACCAATCACGTTTAAGGTTACCAGTAGAGATGATTAATAAACTCGTGGAGAAATCTGAAAGCTCACTTCAATTCAAATTGAAGTATACGCTGAAGATTTTGCCCAATAGGGAGCGATGAAAGCTTCGCAAATTAACTATTCAGGTCAGAGAACACAACCACACCAAAAACAGTGTTCATTTCTCCTAATCCTAATTTTTCGTTAGGTTTTTCTGATGCATATCACATCACACCCCAAGGATTTTATTTTACAGACACAATTAGATTGATAATCCATTGGAATTTAGTGTCTTACATGGACAAGGTCGCTCCATAGTGTGTCTTATATTTTGAAGAAAACTCTGATGTTGTGTTTACTGAGTGCTCTTCTGATATCGTCCGATGTTTCCGATCTATAGAGAATAACAACTGTTGGTATTCGTGTCAATGGAATACATTTTCAATCATGTTTAATGCTGATTTTGGTTATGATGTTCATTGGATAGTTATTTCTTTTTTGAGAATTTCAGTAATATTTAATATTTCTTCTTCTTTTTCCTTCTTATCCGTTGCCAAAGAGTGTACTCGTGAAAGATGACTCGAGACAACTAACTACCTTTACAGTGATGGGGTGTGATATTCCGAAGTCTAAATATCTGTCGCACTGCGTTTTCTTCCTAAATGAAGATACATTAATGTAGATACATTCCTCTTAACTTGACAGTCTAGAAAAGGCAGCTCACCGAAGTGTGATTCTGCTTCCTAGGTAAACTGAATCCTGGGAGATTTATTGTTCAGCTTCTCTAAGAATGATCTGTGAAGGTCTCATTTTAGTACAACAAAAGTATCATCAACATATCTAAGCCATATAAATACATCATAGGGAATAATAAAAAGACAATTAAGGCGAAGAAAATTTCCTTTTCCATGAAGTCATCAACTAGACTGTACATTCGTGTATTTATTTGTGATAAATGGATGTGAAAGTTCCAGAATAATTTCCAGTCAAGGGTTAAATTAATAAAATTACAATTGGGAATTAAAATGTCATAATAAACAGGGAGAGACGAATAAAGCTCAGACAAAGCAGCATCATAATTACTGAAAAGATTGACATATTGTGCAATTAGGAGTTAGAAATGTAGAAATAACAAAAATAGACAGGATGTTTGGATACAAAGTCTAATGGGATCATAACTACTAATGTGACGAATAATTGTTTATGCAATCAGGGATTAAATATGAGGAAATAATAAAATGATAAAATAGACAGGAAGTTCGGATATGAAAATATGGTAGTGTAAATAGGAATTAAGAAAAACTTAAAAATAACATGAATAAACAGGAAGTTTCGATAGGAAAGGCAATGGGATGGTCATCACTAAAAGAATTAACTGTTTATAATGACCATGGCAGGGACAAGGGTTGGACGTATTTCTTTTGGATATATAGCGTGGGTTTGAGCTTTCGGATGGCTAGTGTCTCGGCTATGCCCAGATGTCTTAATTTTACTCCCTTTGACAGATTTGATTGAATCTTGTATATGATTTTGAAGGATTTTTCGGATGACGCTGAATGTCCTAGGTTGACCAGATGTTCTGTCACTGAACCATATATAGGTTTGCGTTGTCCTTTAAATAGCCTGGCTAGATAGTATTCGCGAGCGCTTTTTCCAAGTTGGCGCACGGTACGGCCGATATACTCATCTCCGCAAGAGCAAGCAAACTGGTATATACCCGTTGAAGTGGCCCAATGTGACAGCTTGCCTTTCGCGTTCTGGCGGAACACTTTCTTTCAGAAGAACGTTAGTCGTGGGCTCGCAGTGATGTATGTTTTCTCCAGAGATTTGGAGAGACGTTTACGAAGGATTCCTGCTTCAATGTCACCTTTTAATTCTAGATTAAGCAGAAATATTTTCCAGAGGAAGGATTGGACCTGTTCGGAAGTCTTCTTTTATTTCAAATTCTTGTCTATGAACCTGGGCGGAAGACCGTTTTCCATCAGGGTTCTTCGTTAATCACTTCCTCCTTGCGTATCTTCCAAATCCTCGAGGAAAGAGCATATATCAGGTTCCTCTTTCTGCTTAGGGGCACGAAGCTTTGAGAGTTGATGAATTTTCCATTCCATGTAGGCATTTTGTATATGGATCTATTCAGAGAGTTGTTGGCGTTTTTTGTCAGATGGACGTCGAGGAAGTGGGACATTCCGTCGGATTCAACCACAAAAGTAAAGTTGATGTTAGTATTGATCAATTTTACAACATGAAAATAACTTCAGTCTGAAGAACGATGATTAATTAGGTGTATATAAACTGAGATTTTGTAAATTCTGGTTTAATAATACAACTTCGATAAAGTTATTAGCCGTATTAACTAGCGAAACGTCAGTAAAAGTAACAAGATAGTTTTGTTTTTCATTCACTGGGAAATACAAACATTTTTTTATAATAATGAATATAATACGACTAGTGTCCAAATTCTTTTAAACTACTAAAAGTGAACTCGGTTTTGACATATAGAAAATAAATACACAAAGGAACTCCAACATATAATTTATCTAAAGAATTATACAGAAAATTGAAATACCTAACGGAATCTTGTGATCACTCCGTTAATTTTGCTATCCAATATCTAGAGAAAATCAGAGGCATCCAAATAGACGATCAAGAAATAATGATATCCTTCGACGCCACAGCATTATATACCTTAATTGGACAGAAACTAATAAAACAGACCACGGAGCAATTACTCAGCAACAATGAACACTTCCCACAGCAATCAAAAATACAACACATAAGTTCTATGGAATGCACAAACCTATCCCTAACAATGTACTTCCATTTTAACGGCCAAATATGTGAACAAGTCAAAAGAACACCCATAATATCCCCAATATCAGGTTCGATTGCAGAAGCAGTGATGCAAAGACTCGAAAATACAATCCTACCAAAGATCAAACCCAAGATCTGGATACGTTACATAGACGACACATTTGTAATAATAATAAAAAAAACGAGTTAGATAAAACTCGCAATTTAATAAACAACGTCTTCAACTACATCAAATTCACAAGAGAAGAGGAATCTGAGAACAAAATACCATTTTTGGACGTCTTAGTCAAGCGAACAACCACAGGGGAATTAGAAACTCACGTTTATAGGAAATCAACTGGCACAGAGCAAATCCTGAATCACAACAGCAACAGTCCAATAACACACAAAACGAATTGTGTAAAAACACTATTGAAGAGGGCCAGCCAAGACTTATTGCAGCACTTTCACCTTAAGAAAAATTGAAGAAAAAAATATCTCATGGACGTCTTCCAAAAGAATGGATATCCATGGAATTCCACTAAAAGATATATACCCCCAAGCCAACCTATCAAATCAAAGACCCCAAAGAACGCAGAAAGAAAATCGCCCAACCATATATAAAGGACATCTCAGAAATCCCTACATGACTCTTCAAACCTTTAGGAATTGACGTCGTACACAAACCAACAAAATCACTTCACTCAGCTCTGTGTCAACCAAAAGAGTCAACAGTGAAAGCACATAAAACAAAAATCATCTACAGAATAAGTTGCAACGATTACGAAAAACACTACATTGGCCAAAGAGGACATCTTCTTAGTCTTTGCATCCATGAATATAAACTAGCCGTCAAAAGACATGAAATCCACTACCTCATATCTCTGTATACAGACAACCACAGACGTCAAATCGACCGGGACAATGTTCAAATATTAGACAGAGGAAACACCGAGAATGCCAAAGAACTTTAAAAAGCCTGGTATTCCAGAGAATCGTCAATTAATAGACACTTTTACACAGACAAAATTTACCACACAAACAAAGAGTCAAAGTTCAAGTCAAGGAAACAATCAGTTCCAATACAAGTAGCCTACAGGGTGTAAAACCACACAAAAACAACCAATCACTATGTTCAAGGTCACCAGAAGAGATGACTAATAAAGCCGTGGAGAAATCTAAAAGCTCACTTCAAGAAAGTGAAGTATGCACTGAAGATGTTGCCTAGTGTTGGGGCAATGAAAGCTTTGCAAATAAACTATCCAGCCTAGAAAAAACAACCACATCAAAATAGGTGACATAAATTCTCAGGCTGTTGAATTACTAACTGACGATATTTGAAAATCATGTAACGTCATATGACGACTAACCCAATAAGGCAATAGTATTGTAACGACGAAGGACAAGGACCAGTCAACAGACCGTTTATTGAGAAAATCAGCAGATATTTATAGATTTTTATGTACATTATTATTCGTTATTGTTAGTAGAGAAGTAACGTCTTCTGATCGGTTGTTTTCTTGCTGAAGGTTATTTTGTACTGCTTGTGACCGTTTCTTAGAGAGTTAAGCGATATATCTGCGAATCGTATTTGCACACGTTAAGTCTGCTGTGATTGGTTGTTGAGTTCTTCAAGGTTAGGCCTTGTTCATTTTTTTTTCTTCGTATGACCCTGATTCGGGACGTAAACACTGACGTAAACTGTTGTTTACAATTTCGGCTTGCACACAGTTCTCACCACAGTAGTATCCATGCTTATTTCTCAGCCTGTGATCACCACAGAATCGTATTTCACTTTACTGATTCATGGCTGTACATTATCTAAAAATCTTCAATTACATTAAAGCAGAATAGTTTTACAATTGATCAATGACAATCTCATTATTAATTGAAGTATGACAATTTAAAATCTGCATTCATTTCATTTAAGCTAAGTAGAGTTGAAATTGTCTTAAAAATGTTCAGATCTTTGATAATATTCAAGTATTGGTTTTGTAGGGATTTTCTTTGATTGCCTGGAGTATTTCATCATGAGCTGACATTAGTTAGAGAACCACTGGAAAACCTGGGAGTACTGGACAGCTGTTTCGTCCTAGTTTGGGACTCTTCAGCAGTACGCACCCACCGGTATTCGAACCCAGGACCTTCTGGTTACAAGGCGAGCTCGAGCTCAATGGTCTACGAGCTCGTCTTTGATAATAATTCTTTTTTTTTAACTTTTTCATTCACCAGTTTGGGTATTATTTTTTTCCTTTCTATTTAGAATTTTGGATGATCAGCTATATCAGCTGAAAGATGTAAATGAAAAATGTAAACGTATTAAAGGCACTATAATGACTTTAAAACGGTAAGCTAATTCAATGTTTCATTTTAATATAGAAGTGTTGTTTTGCTTGGATTTGATTGGTTACACAACTTAATCATGAGCTGACATCGATTGGAGAATCATTGGAAAACCTAGGAGTACCAAACGGCTGTTTCGTCCTACTCTGGGACTCTTCATCAATGCGCGCACTTCGGGGCTCGAACTCAGGACCTTCTGCTTACAAGGCGAGCTCGTAGACCGTTGAGCCACTGAGACCCAATCCAGTGGTTCTTCAATTCTAACTTCTGCCGATTCACGATATAGCGCAACCATTTCGCAATGTCTTTGTCGATGAGTTACTGCCTCATCTTTGATCTGCTGTACCCTACTGGTCACGGCTTCCCACTAGAACCCCAGGTTAACTGCCTGAAAAGGGCCAATCGCTAGTGAGCATCAGATTAATTTTCAAGTATTGGTTTTGTAGGGATTTTCTTTGATTGCCTAGAGTATTTCATCATGAGCTGACATCAGTTAGAGGACCACAGGAAAACCTGGGAGTGCTGGACAGCTATTTCGTCCTAGTATGGGACTCTTCATCAATACACACTCAAACATGGTTAGGGAAAAGAGTTGTAAAGTTAATTAAGAGTTCCATACTGGCACATCTAGTGGATACGTCACGCAAGACTGACGAAAATTAGGCCTTTAAAATTTGAACAAAGCAATAACAACAACACATGGAGCAGGATTAAACATGGGACCAATTGTTTATTTCGTCAACTGTTTGCAATTTGAATAATGAAATTTAACAATTTTATTACAATTTCAACATACATTAGTTCTCAAGAGTTTGATCACAGGGATTTCATTTGTTTCTAGTTTGATTATGAATTCATATCAAGTTGGAGAACCATTGAAAACCAGCCATATGGAGCACTGGACAGCTGTTTCGTCCTAGTTTGGGACTTATTGGTAGTGTGCACTTACAGGACGAAGCTGAATGCAGGGAGTTCTAGGAAGAGGTCGTGATCAATGAGGTCGATTCTGTAGGGAGTGAGGACAGGTACTTAGCAATGACATTGTCTGGTGCCAGTGGCGCTAAATTCATAAATTGCAAGAAGTTAGAATTCGTGGACTGGCCATTGAGGAGTCGAGTTCCAGTGGTTGAATGTTCTAAAAGCTTGTGTTGTAACCAGAAAGTTCTGGGTTTGAACCCAGTGGGGTAATTACTGATGATGAGTGCCGCACTAAGAAAAAAACGGCTGTCCAGTACTCCTAAATTTTCTGTTGGTTCTCTAACTGATATCCATCCGTGGTCAAGTCAAGTATCAGAAGGGAAATGAGTTGTTCCTTCAAGAGTGTAGATACTCCTTGCTAACGACTATCAACAGGCATAGAAAGTAGGTATGGCAAGGCTTCCTACCGATAAATAACTTGCAAATAGTTCACTGTAGTTTTGTTGTTTCATTTCTGAGTTTATCAGACGAATGTATCACAGTCATCTCGATAGGTAGTATTGATCCTACTCAGACTTGAATTCAACCTCCAGATGGTAAAAGTAAATGTCCACAAGTTTTGTGAGCTATCACTACACCAGTTGTTGTCCACTGATATTCTACATCATTCATTGTTTATTTCACTTGACCGAACTTTATTGAAGTGTGTATGCTTTTGGTGTAATTTGAATACCATGTTGTGTGATGGTGGTCCGAAGGTGGAGCTTTCCGCTCGTTAAACCATTCGGTAATACTTAAGCACTCCAAATGATATGTCCTGGTGTTATGTACTGCTGCTGAGTGAGTTAATAGTAGTTTTCCCCGTCGCCAATTATGTTATGTACTCGTCGAGTAGTTAATAGTCCTGACGCGGAAAGAGGGAAATCAGAAGACCGACTTGTTCACAATGATACTTGTATTTTCCAGACAAGGAAAATAAATGTCACACAAGTGTGTGAGTGGAAGGGTACTTAAATGTACAAAATGTGTGTCAACCAGAATACAGTACAAAAGTATATATGAAAATGACTAATACACATGAACCAATAAATAGACAGTCTTAACATGATTGGTTGTAATGTTATGTGACAACAAGGTCATACATGTTTATTTAGTTAGTGGACAGACAAAAGCATATTGTCAGTTATAATGGAATATCGATCCATATACACATAGCAAAATATAACAGCTGTCAAAAACAAACACACACATCATGTGACTACATATCACCTGGGTTCGAATCCTAGCAGACTCTCTCCGACCATGCACTTGTTCCGGCGTTCAGTCACCTGCTGATGCACATCTGATATCGATGGTCGGCCTGCAAAACTTGGGCTACCGACATTACATGCTGAAAACTCCATTGTACTACCAAAAGTACTGTGTGGAATCAAGCTATAATAAAAAAGAAGGGCAGAAGTAGCACAACATGGAAGATCTGTACAAATGGTGCGTTGAAGATAAGTTGTACATAATTTGGCAGAGTTCAACAATAGCATCCCAAGGGATACAAACGCACGAGTGTCCTTGAGCCGACCAATCATAGAAGTCAGGAATTTTGCATGAAAAATGATGCATTTTCACAAGAAAATGCATGAAAACACATTAAACAGGGTATCTTTTTCTGACATGACCTAAAAATGTGTCCAAGTTATAATGAGAAGTATCAGTTGCGAAGTTAGACTAGTTTCTGTACATGTACACGTATTCACCGAGGTGGCTAAAGATGAACTGTTTTTGTGAATCGTTTATCTCTCTTATTCTGTTGTGCAGTCCTCCCCAAAAGCGCTCGGTTGAATTACTATGGTTTCCAATAAGAGGATAGACGACTACTTACTAGGAAAATGTGAATAATAAAACAAATTAAAATAATTGACATCAGCTCTAAATCTATCCCTAATCGCAACCCTGACCTTAATCCTAGCCCTAATTACAACCCTTATTTTAGCTGTAAACCTAACCCTAATCCTAATCATGACCCTAATACTAACCCTAGCGAGCTATTAACACAGTGTCCAAACTTAAAAACGTGATCTGGGTGAAATTTGCTCCCTAGTTGGTGAATATCATTGATATTTCAGCTTTGATAATGACTAGCATGCGTTCAAGGTCACTGGAGTGTTCTCACCCTGGGATGCTATTGTTGAACTTGGACATGCTATCACTCCCTGGGATACAAACACACGCCGGGTAATGAATCCCAAATTATCTGAAGTGTGTGTGTGTGGGTGCGTACGCTAGATTTCAGGTTACATACAAGACTGGAGTGCTTAGTCAATTGACATCATCAAAAGAAGTAGTGAGAAATCATAAATATCAACTAGTGTTAAATTAAGAAGCTTAAAATAAGAAATACTAAAAGTTGACTACTTAAATCCACAAATTTCAGTAGTTTACTACACTCTATGTAAATAAAACTTCTCCAACCAATTCACTCCTCTTTTTCTTGTTCTCGATCTTCTTCTTCTTCTTCTTCTACGTGTTCTTTTTTGTCTTCTTAAAGAATGGAAGTCATATTGTACAATTTATTTATGTCTTTTTCTATCAAAATTGAATGTCACATGCATAACTGTGATAAATCATTAGGCCTATCGATTTATGCCTAATCCTATTTTAATGTTTAAATGTAATTTATTAAGTTAAATTTGTCATTTTGTTCAATTCAGTGTATTCAATGTGTTAGTTTATTTGTTTTAACGCATACAAATCATTTGATTTATTTGTGTACACATAGATATACATTAAAAAAAATCTATTTGTACGTAAAATTGGAAAGATTAAATTTTAAAAGGATTTATATAAATAATTATATGAATATCTAGCCAGTTCACAAAAAACTGTGTCAAAAAATGATTTTGTCATGAGTATTATAAAGTTGAGATATCAAGTTACGTAATATGAAAAAGCATTCATCGGATAGAAACCGAAATAGAAATAAATAAAAGGAAATACATCGACGCGGAATAATTGATACGATTGAATAGAATTCAACTGAAATTTGAACGAGGATCAAGTTAACAACAGTGGTGATAAATGGCGGGGGGTATAAATTTAATAGGGGGTTGAAGCAAGAAAATAACACAATTTAGAAAGTTACGTATCAGGTCCATTGTTGATTTAATGACTGAACAAACTTTTTTTTGGTATACAGAGTTTGGAACTTAACATTGACATTTGGAGCTAGGTATATCGGCAGTTTCCAAAGTTTACTATCCAAACGTGTCATCGAGCACTTACCCTCATAATTTTATAACGGTGACAAAAGACAGCTCTATCTTGAAACACCTGATTGAATCTCGACACTAAGCTAAAACACAGATCAACTCCAAAGGATCTACAGAACACATGGAAATCTTGCTTACTAACATGGTTTTACAAAGGAGAAAATTGATGCCCCCACAGCTCTATCTTAGAGCATCTGATAGATTCCGAACACTAAGCTAAACCCCAAACAAACTTCACAGTTGTCTACAGAATACGAATCAGTCTTCCTAAAGGTGTACAAATCAGACTTGTTCAAACCGCAGAAGCAATGGCAATTCACTTGCTAAGTCCTGAACTCTGTATACAGAAGAAGTTCGTTCAATCAATACACTTGCAATCGACGTAATCTATCTTAATACCCGACAGGATAATTATATTTCTTTCTTTCTCTTCATTAGTATTATTATTTTGTCTTTTCAATTGTAATATTTTACATTTTCAACTTTCCTGTTCTCTACCCCCAACCGATTTAATTTTACATCTCATTACCACTGTTACTGACTTGACCAACGCTCAATTTCTAGTTATTTATGTTACATCATCCAATTTGTTTACTCAATTTTCGTCCGAATTTAAATAGCACTATTCTCTGTCCCACCTCTACTTAGTCTCTATCTGTGATTACCTCTATTGCTATCCTGACCTAGGTTGAAACATTTAGTCAATTATATCACGTCATCTAACTTACTAACTCAATCTGACTTTAGTTGCTGTCTAATTAACCTTGTTTCTATATTAGATCATTCTTGTATTACCTGATCAATTATCTAAACTTGACAAACC